GATGTGGACAGAGAACACCATTGAGTTCTCCTCTTACAACAAGGGTAACAGCTGGAACAACCATAAGATAAACCAAAATACACACAGAGAAGGCTAGACAGGAGCCCAAGAGATGAGACAGAAGAAAGCAGCTGAACAGACACATCCAGCAGTGCTGAGTTTTCTATTTTTCCATTCCTCCACCCTGCCACGAAACAGACCAAGAACAACTATTCCCTTAAGCACACTACTCTCAGGCACACCCTTGCATCACCAATAACTCAGGAGCACCCATCACTCCTTGTCACTTACTTCTTGACTCAAGACTTGCCCCTTCTGGGATTTCCTTGAAGTCTTTTCTCCCATTAGAGCAGTTTCTGCAAGTCAGAGAGGAGCGTGAAGAGGCAGGTCCTGAACATGTGAGGTATGTATCCATGAAGTTAAATACCGAGGCAGGTTCAGCAAACTTAAAGAGACTCTCCAACACATTAAAGATCAACACAGCATTCTTCTGAATGAGCCACACAATCTGGCAGTGCTCCCTCCAACATCAATATCAATTTCCTCCATCAACAGGAGACAGAATAATAGCAACTTCCTCTATATAATGCAGCCCTTAATTGTCCCAGATCAAACATCAGCTCCCAGAGGCTATTCATTCTGCTCTATAGGTAACCATGCCCTAGACAAGATGCAACAACTTTTATCAACAAATGTTAAATGTTGCAGGAAGCCCAGAAGGCGCATATGGAGACTGCTAATAACAATCTACCACATCATTGCACTAGCTCTAACTGAACATGCAAACCACTGCTGAGAGCAACGTGAGTACTCCAGTGACCAGAAAACATTTGCAAGCTCTTGTTCATCAGAGGCAGCAAATCCATACAACTACTGTCAGATCAGGTTTTTTCCCCCTCTATATCAGCTCCACGACGCCTCTGATCCCCCTCCTAATGACATAGTCTTCATTGATTTCAAGAGAACTCAGCAAGACCTAGCAGAAAATGAACTAAAGAAAAGAGGAAAATGTCAAGTGAGTCATTAGCGGGTAGAGAAAGGAATTGTGTAGTAAGTAGTCCTCAATATACTTTTCCTTTTTTAAAATAAATGATGTCACAAATCGAGGGAATCCTTGGACATTAGTGAAGCTGCACCAATAACGAGCCCTGCACAGTCTGCAGGAGTGAGGAATTCCTCAACTCAAAGGCGTTACTTACACCAAATGCCAATAAATACATAGGTAAAATTACCCTGCTTGTTTGGAAATTTCAAGATGGGAGTTCAGATCTCAAATACAAGAGCAGACACAGAGAGAGAAGCAAGAAAACCAGCACCAAACCAGAAGATTCTTTCCAACTTTAACAGCTAAAAAAAGTCTTTGTTTTTTCATCTTTTGGCTGCTATTACCAACATTACAACCTTTGTGTAGGGCAGGTGCTTAGCTACTGAAATGGGAGGAGAAAATATTTCTCATCACTAGCAGGAGCAGGCACGGTCCCACCATCTTTCTAACTCTGTTACGGCACAGATGTGCTTTCTGTTGAACATCCTTTGGCGCGTACTTCCACGCATGCATCTTCATTTGCTTTGCCCTCGGTTACCACAACACAGCCCTTTTCCTAGGGCCTGTTACTACAGCAACAGAATCTGTTTGAGTTTGGTAGCAACATATCGCAGGCATCGAAAAATATGCTATTAGCTCAAGAAACATGGAACTACATGTCAGCAGCCCATGCCACAGAGATCTTCCTGTAACATCTCACCTCTGTCTTTCTAATTACAAAACTCCATGAATCCCCACCTCCTTGGCAGAGCACAAGCCTGAGCAACCTCTTCCTTCAAAGGACGCACAACACAGGTACACTGCCCACCCTCTCCCGTGTGCCTGTCATTGTAGAGAAACCACAACAAGCCAGGTTTGATGGGCTTCATGGCCAGAAGCATATTATGTTCCACAGATGCTATTACTTGCACTAGCAGTTAAAGCCAAAGTTTCACTTTAAATTCCATATGGTATCACATCTACATTATTTTTCACATATGTATTAGAACAAACAAAATATTTTTACAAAAGAAAAATTAGTTTGAGGGGCAGTTGTGGTTGGGTTTTTTTTTGGTTTGGTTGATTGGTTGTTTTTTTTTTTTAACTAGGAGAACCTTCCTGTATTGTCAACTAACTGCAAAGAGGCTGTGTTAGCTATTATACAAAGTTACTTCACTGAACTATTGCACAACTCGAAGGAAAAAAAACTCTCAGTGCACAGGGTTATTTCTGTATAATTCGCTGCCTTGGGACACAAGAGGGTTTTTATTGCAACAGGTGAACAATTACTAGTACTTAGGTGTCAGGTGAGAGACTGCTTCTTCCCCCTAGCTACAATACAGCCCAAATGCAGCATATACATACTCAACGTTAGCAATATAGTAAAGACAGCACAGACTGGTCAACTTGATCATTTCTCAGCCACAGCCAGCCATGACGGAAAGTTCAGCCAGACTATGACTGCTGTTATTAATTAGTTTCTATCCTGAGGGAACAACCTATGCCAGATTTGCTCCCAATTTAAACCAAGGGAACCTACCCAAAAACATTTTATCCGGTCACATGCAGTGTAGCCCCTACTGAGTGAGCGTGCTATTATGAGAAAAGAAACTGATATAAATATAGCATAGTGACAGTATACACTCTGCAGTTATTTCCTCCGTGAAACAGAGAAGAATGAAGTGGGTAAGCTGCTCAGCCAGCTTTCTTCTAAGATTGCTGAAAATTGCATTGATGACATCAACAAAAATAATCAGCTAAAGACAAATCTGAGCAAATAATTCTCAAACAACATTTTAAACTGTAGAATTTGACCTCCTCTCAAGTACTCACAAACCTGAGAAGACTTGTACGTTTCCACCAGCTTCTCCATTTATATTCATTCGCAGAATAGATTTTTTTCCTGTAATTTTTTCCTGTTAGCTTTTATTTTTACTAGCTAAATTGATTGCACGTTCATGTAAGAATTAATCATCCTCTATCCAAAAACCTACTTGTGATGGATAGGCTAGGACAGAGCAGATATTAAACTTCATTGTTGGTATGGTTGATTGGTTGAGTGTGCATACACGTGCACTCTTCTGCAACCCATAATTCATACGTAGAAATCCAGTTTAATGATTTTCATAACTAAAGCCAGTAAAGCAAACAACCCCAAAATGCTTGGTGGGTTTTTTTTAACCATACATGTAGAAAGTAACATGGTTAGAAGCGCATGTCTAAAGGAAAAATAATGAAGCAGCATATAGTAAGCAGAATTCATTTTCTGGCAGTATTTTCCCAGCTACAGTTGAACTGCCAACTTTAAAGAAGTTATTTTAGCATACAAGATGAATGTATCTCAGGAACAAAAAGAATCACTCTTCCTAATCCTCCTCTCATGCACCCTCCTCAATCCTGTTCTCAGACATGAAGCATTGCTTAAAAAATGCCCATGGAAGAGACTGAAAGAAGTTGCTGCTTCTCTATATAGTTATTTATAATAGATAATCTTAGAATCATTCTTAATTCCAGCTCATCATTTATGGTGTTGGCAAAGTTGCTCCAGTGAATTTAGTCTCATCATTCACCTTCGGGTTGTACAGTATCTTGTATTTTATATATCGTTCTTTATCCAGTGAATCCCTCACAAGCACTTACAGAACAAAGCGATGGTGAATAACAATCCAAGGACAAAGCTAAATGCTGAAATACTATGATTTTTATGGCCAGTTACAGGAAAACATGGACATACTTTGAATGTGTAGAAGAACTTCTATAAGTAAAGTAGCAATACATCCAGGAACACCACAGCATGCTATATAGTTCATCTTTCCAACAGGCCTCTGCACTATCCCAAGACACTGAACACCATTCAGAAAGTCAGCAGGGGTGTTCAGCTCAGCTGCCCATGGTCATACCCCAGCTGCATTCAGTTATGCTTGGGAACTTGATCAAAATGTCTTCACAAAAAAACCACAAACTAATGGGATCATCCATTCAGTTGACAGTCAAGACAAAACAGGGATGATGGGACAAGTGCACAGAGTTTTAGTTGCTAGAAACTACACTAAAAAGTGCAGAAGGATCACATTAATGGCAGCACACACTTCACTGATTTATTGCATTGGAGCCATTTATCTAGTGACAATTCCTGTAGAAAGAAGAATGAGCCAAGCTGGTCAGTTCTTTCAGAAGATAACTTCACCCACAACATCCTCTTTAAACCTGCTGGAGAGGAGACTACGAAGAAAACCCATGAACACTTTACTCCAATAACAGAGATGTTTCATTTCATAACTGAAGCCAAATTTCATATCTTAACCATCTGGAAGAATTTTGCAACGTGATCACCAGAACCATGAGTTCTACTTCAGGCTCATATCTCAAAATAGATCTCACTAGCTTCCGCATTCCATTTCGTTACAGGGATCACATTATCTGGGGTCCTGCTACAGCATGTTAGGTCACAGCACCTACTCTGTAACAGGCACTTCCTTGCTAAAATGCGATGGTTGTAGTGACAAGATACACGTCTCCTCTCAGTCTCCTTACACTGCGATGACCACCGAGACACAAATGCTTCAGAATAGGAAAGGAACTAGGGTATCTTGGGAAAAAAATAAATATAATAAAGTCATCAGGTGTCACTTGGAAATTCCTCAGCTAAAACTCAACCATAAGCCAGCAATATCAGAATTGAAAGCAATCTGGGCAAACACAATAGAAGGAGCAAGCATTTTCATAATCATCCAGTAATAATCACTGTGGCTGTCAACCTTTACCATTGCTACAAATAAAAGTAAATATCACTGTGTTCCCCTGCTGCTTACAACTGCTTGGTGTAGAAACCCATGCCAAGTTATCTTCACAAGCACAGCAGAACGTGGAGAAGAGGCTTCAAGGCATCCCTCCTACTAGCATCGAACAGATAATATGAGCAAGATGCCAGCCCACAAGGAAAGCCTTCAGTGAGAAGAAGTTCAGAGAGCCTTACCTATGTACAGGGAGGAATCTTTCCGCCTCACGTGGTCATCAATGTAGGAAACTCCCAAGGGCTGGACAGGGGTAGCACCAATGCCCAGGAGGACCTGTGCTCCAATGAGCAGCAAGTACATCATGTTGGTAGCAGTCCTATTCCTGCAGATAAGGTCTGGGTCTGGTCCCTCATCACTGGTGGACCCGTTGGCAGCACACACATCCCTCCCTTCAGCACCCCAGCGTATTTCTCCCGATTCATATTCGTATTGGTGGGTCAGAAATTCAGGCAACGCGGAAAGGAGGGCACCCAAGGCCATGACTATCCCTCCACATCCTATCAAGCGCGGCCGGTGTCCTCGGGCTCCAAAATAGCTCACGAAGAGGATGAGGGCCAGGTTGCCAATCTCGAAGCTGCTGGCAATGACGCCCACGTCAGCACTCTGAAGGTTGAATCGCCGCTCCAAGGTGGTTAAAACACTCACCTACAACAGAGAAATCCAGAGAAAATTACTGAAAGGGAATATGACCTGCCTTCTGTCCTCCCCATGTGACCTGCTCAAGTGTAAGTTTCTTTGACTTTCCCTTGGAGCCAAAAACCTACACATCAAGGACATCGAAATCACAGTACAGTAGTAGTTGACCTCCAAGCATGATCTGACTACTCAAATACAGCCACATCAGAAGGTCCTAATACCAAGTGACATTTCACAGCCTAGCACCTGTCTGAGCACATGTTCACTTCCAAATTCCTGTGTACATCAACATATATTTTGGGTGCCTGCAGAGACCCATGACTCCATGATTGGTTAGACTCTTTTTGGGCTCCCTTTCTATTTGAAAGCACAGCCTTCACATTGCAAACATTGTCCCACAGAACCAAGGCACAAACCACACTTAGGCTCACATCATCCAATCTTTCTCTTGGAATGAATCGCAGTTAGTGAGCAGCAGAAAACCTTGCAAATACTTGGCTTGCACACCAGCACAAGGCCATCAAGTTAGTCAGAGATAGCGATGCACAAATAAGCAATTTGGTCAACGCAGAAGGCTTCTATTAAAGTATATAAAGTGCTGGGTTTAAACTGTTTGTGGATTAGTTAATGACTGGGATCTTCACTTACAGAATTTTGAGAAGGCAGGCCAATTAAGGTTTATGTAGAAGATTTAAATCCACCACAAAGAAGGGAAGATTTAACAAACAGCGGTTATTTAATGCAAAGGAGAGAGAAGCACATGAATAGTCTTCAAATATTTAACATTGCTGAGAAAAAGAACGACTCCTTCCTTGTATTCAAAATGGGCAGGACAAGAAGTGACAGGTTTAAACTGCAGCAGAGATGATTCAGGTTAAATACAAGGTGGGGAGAAACCAGACTGTTACTGGTGAGGATTGCGAAGCACTGGAATATGTTGCGTGGAAAGGCTGCAGAGGTCTTTAGAAAGAGCGCAGACCAGCATTTGTCAGGAAAGACACAGGTATGGCTGATCTTGCCATAGGGTAGGAATGTGAACCAGATCATCTGGAGAGCTCTTCCAGTGTTGATTACACAGCACAATGAAACACGACATGGATTTTCTGCAGTAGTCATAGCACTGATCAGAGTATGAAGATGAAACATCAGGTACCTCACTTGCTGTCATCCCTGCTCAAGGGACAAAACTCAGCGCATTCTCGTGCCTATAGCACTGTCTCCCTTATGCAGGAAAAAAAATAAGAAAAGAAATCTCAAACATGTCTCAGAAATGCCAAAAACTTATACCTTGGATAAGAGACTATCTTGTTTTTCAGATTGCAAAAGATGAAGATATTTAATGTTGTCCTAAAACAGGCAGGTTTCTCTATTCAAAAAAATGTAATAAAGACCTCAGAGCAGAAGGTAGCCCCTGGATAGAATAAAAATAGCCTCCCACTGGAGGCACTGAAAATCTTTGCTGATAAACCTCACAAAGCAGGAGCCAGTCTGACCGACTTTAAAGTATTCTGACAGCAACACTTCTCCGGGGGCAGTTAGCCTCTGTTAGGGTACACCAGGGCACAGTTGGACAAAGACAGTCCCATTGGCAACAAAATGGAAAAATGGAAATCACCCACTTCTGCTGCTTTGCATAAGCAAAATCCCCCAAACCTGACCCTGATAAGCATTTAAGTCAGATATCCAAAACTGGACTGTTTTCTTGATTTTTGAAAATTCAGCCTTCATCTCATACAGGCAGTTATCACTTTATGCTACGACTGTAATTCTCCCCCACTAAAAGCCAAGAACTGAATCAGGAAAAAAAAAAGCCAAACCCTAAAAATCAAACTCTATGACTAAAGACAATGCAATAGCAGTAGTTCTTCTCCATGCCAAAGCCAAGTTAAGATGTGTGTGTCAGAGGGAGAGGAGGCCACCACTTCATCTGAAGCACCGAGTGCAGGTATCTGTTGGGATGAAATGACTCATTCACCAGAGGAAACAATGTCCTTTTCTGCGAGGGCACAGCACAGCCTGTCCCTGCTCCAGCAACCTCATCCACACTGCTTGGTAGAGACATGAGAGAGAGCGCGCTAGTACGTATTTGAGGGCAATGTCACCGTTCCCAGCTCTCCATGGGAGCCAGGGCAACAGAGCTGAGCAGATGAGACAGAGGCTGCTGGAAAACACTATGTTGGTACTTTCAGAGCAAGGCACACCAAAGCAGAGGGACCTTGGTGGAGGGGTGGTATGAACATGGACAATGTCCCATTGCTCCAGGCTGCTCCACCAGGCACTCATGCAACATTTATCATCCATAACATGGGGCTGATTTTATTGCATGGTGTGATCTAACAGGGTTGGTGCATTCAGACTGGTAGGACTCCAGACTTCAACACCACACAGCAAACACCAACAAACTCCAAGCAATGATCTGTCCCATGAACGCCAATTTTGGCAGAATGGGGAATCTCTCCAATATGAGTATGTAACTCTGAGCATGCAAAATCATGTCCATGGTGCTCATTTCTGAGTTGTATCTAGATAGGAAACTCATAATTATTCATTATAGCTGTGTAAACTGAGGCACAGAGAGCCAAGCATTAATAAGAAAAGTACAGTCAACAAAACTAATTTGTGATGGAATAATTTAGGCTAGAAGATTGAAAGCCAGCAGAAGTGATTTCCCAAGGCCAATTGGTATTAACTAACTTTGGAAGTCTCTCCACATTTCAACCTGGCTGCCAAAGTTTAGACTTTCACTGTACATATATACAAGCAGCTAGAAAGCAGGATGGCATTTAGAAACACTTGGGTGTCATGTCTTACAAAGGTTAGATTTTGGACAGCTGGATTTCAAATAAAAAACTACACCATTTAAGTGCAATTCGCAATGATAGGGACTGTAAATTAATGACAAACCTGGGAATTAAACTGAGAAGTCCCAATTCTCATTTTGCTCCCATTTCAGTGGGTATTTAGTTGTTCTCTTTCTGTAAAAAGCTAAACCACTCACAATAGGGAAACAGAGTTTCACCATCCGCTAACAGTTTCTTGCTTTGCTTTGGTGAAGAGACTGAAACAAAAGGAGGAAGAGGAAGATGGTAAACTGCAACTCTCCTGATAAGAGCAAGCAGGAGTTCTTATTCTTCTGGCTGGACCACACTGCATTTCCCAGCCTGCTCCTTCTGGCTGTAGCATTGCCACCCAGTGCCATCAACTCTGTCTTAATAATTAAGTGGCATATAGGATGCAGGGAGGGCAGCATAGTGAAAGAATAAAACCATCACATCAGCCTTGAGCATTCAGAGGAAAACAGCATCTGAGTACAAAGCGCTGACACCAGCATCAGCAGAGTAGCCTCCAAAACACTGACAGTCATGGAGGGGGAAAAAAAAATATCCCAAAATAAAAATAAGGCTGAGAAACAACCTGCCAACATGCAGATTTTAGCCAGAGAACATCAGGAACACAACTGCATTACATCCAGGGTGGCTGCAGCACAGACAGCACAGCCCAAATTCTTGCTTTGACATTGGCTGTGACCTTAAATACACATGCCGACTACAAAATCAGCATTAACACAGCAGAAACGTTACTTGCATTTATTCAAAACAAACCTCTGCCCATAGCTAGAATCATTCTCTCACCTTCCCATATACCTCACCTTTATGGGGCTTCCTGCATGTAAGGTGTAACCTGGCTAAATGCTTCCAGTTTGCACGTAGGATGCTCCCAGTGCCCTTGCAACTGTTACTGCCCGCATTTCCTTTCACAAGCCTGCTGCCCAGCAGATAAGCCATCATCATTCCTAGACACTAACTCTATTTATCAAGAGTTACATAAAATGTTGCAAAAGACACGACAGCTCCCTGTAAAATACTGACGTCATGTGAAAAGGCTGCAAGGATTATGAAAAGTCCCTGTGTGCTGAGGCCAGGTTGAGCATTCAAGAGTGCAGCCCACGTGGATGTTGATTTAACATCAGGTATGCAGGGAACGGACAGCACAGCGGCTTCGGATGGACAACCTCCTGCTAAAGCACAGTGGGAAACACCACGAGCCCACGTTATTAGCTGTGAAGCTGCTATTTCCTGGATTCTGTCAATTTACAGAGCTGTTACACCAGCGCTGGAAAGAATAGATTAAGAGAATGTTCAGTTCAAAAAGCTTCTAACCAAAGATGAAAACAGTTCCCAGGAAGGCAGTACAACAAACCAGTAAAATTCACGCAGATGAGATACATTGGCCAAGCATCTAGGAATGAGAAATACATGCGGTTTGACCCCAAAAAGTCAGTGGTGTGTAACCATCCAGTGGGTCAGACAAGTCCAGAGGAGGCAGGAGAGGACAGAGGCAGGGGAAGTGTTGTCATCGTGGCAAGTGCCAGTGCTCAGGATGCTGGGAACAGCAGTGAAGCTACAGCTTCGCATGGGGATGTGCCTGTGCTAAAGACAGCTCTGCCTTGCCTGCTACTCCTGTGTCCTCACATCTGTCCTGCAGATCAATCCTTCGCAGGTCACCAAGGGTCCGACCAAAGTACTTTAGCTGCAGCACTGTACAGTCTTCAGTCATGCCAGCCCCATTGCTGTTTCTGAACCTCAAGGTCTCCACCATCACCTTTGATAGAAACTGCCTTCCTGTCTCTAACTGTATCCTCTGTCTCCAGTGGGATTCTCACTCCAGACATCTCCCACATAGTTTTTAAGAGCAGCTCCACTACAATTTAGCTATGGTGTTACAGAGATCAACAGGACCACATGGGTGGTGTTTCTCCACGAGTTCATGCTCCTCCAGACTAAGCCTCGTATCAAATCACTCAGACCACCAAAAACTAAATCAGGTTGGACATTTGTGCACCTCACTCATGCAGAAAGCAGGCTTGGGAATCCAGAAAGACCATGTAACCCAGCCTTCTGCCCTTCTGTGAACACACCACCCAACATCCAATAACCAGAAGTAATTAAAACTTTAGACAGTGCTTGCACTATCTCCTCTTCTTACAGAGCCATAGAAGTCTGCATGCA